AAATACTTGACGTTGTTTGTAGTGATAGGTTGGAGTTTTAAATCTGTATGTGTCCAGGGGCAGGCGTGAGAGGGCAATGCCGAAAGCTGAAGACCTTGAAGGAAAACGGTCAGTTTCTGCCTTTGCTTCCTCTGGTGGGTGTTTCTTGATTATTCAAGTTGGGAGCAAAAACTAAAAAGTGTGTGTACATCAGTAAGGCGTCATTTCCCACACTAAAGCACCTTATTCAACAAGCGTTGAGTTCCTATGATGTACCAGCCATTTTTCTAGACAGCAGGACTGTATCAGGTGACAGAACAAAGTCCGGTCCTTGTGGACCTTTCCTTCTCATAAGGGAAGGCAGACAGACAGTTGCTGCTTCCTGTGGTGGAGAGAGCTCTGGACTCAAGGCGAGGAGTATCCGGCAGCATGAACTCGAGAAGGCCTTGCAGATAAGGTGACATTTGAGAAAGGCCTGAAGGAAGTGAGGGAATGAGTAATGTGAATATCTAGGGAAGAGAACTACACAGAGAGCACAGCAAAGGCAAAGGCCAGGCAGGAACATACCTGGTGGATTGGAGGAGCAGCACGGGAGGCTGGTGTGGCTGGAGCTGAAGGAGCGACGGGGAAGAGCTGTTGGAGGTGAGGTCGGAGACTTAGCTGAAACCAAGACCATGCATGCATGGCTTTTTGGAATTTGAAAAATACTATGGTGTGAATATTTGTTTCTCCCTGAAGTCATAGTTGAAATCCTAACTCCTGAGGTGATAGTGTTAGGAGGTCGGGCCACTTGGGAGGTGAGTAGGTCATGAGGCTGGAGCCTTTTATATGGCATTAGTGCCCTTACCCAAGAGCACAGCAGCGCACTGGAAATGAAGGATGGCCCTGCCGTAGTGTGCGTATGGTTTGTTTGCCCCCCGCCAGGTCTCATGTTGAAATTCGGTCCCTCGGGACACCCCCCCCAAAAAAGTTTGATCATCAGTGTTGAAGGTGGGGCCTGGTGGGAGGTGTTTGGATTGTGGGGGCGGGTTTCTCATGTATGGCTTGGTGCCGTTCTCATGGGAGTGAGTGAGTTCTCACGCTTAGTTCCTTTGGTGACTGGCTGTTGCAAAGAGCTTGGCACCTCCTCTCTCGTTTCCTCTCTGGCCACATGATTTCTGCACAGGCGGCTCCCCATCGCCTTCTACAGGCAGCCAGAAACCCTCTCCAGAAGCAGATGTGCCATGCTTGTATAGCCCACGGGACTGTGGGCCAAATTTCTTTTCTTCATAAAGTACCCAACCTCAGGTATTCCTTTAGAGCAACACAAACAGACTAAGACACCCCTGGAGACAGAAGCTCTCCCGAGGTTCTTCTGGACTCACGGGACCGATCCCGCCATGGCTCTGACCACACTGAATTGCAGAGGCCTGAGCAACTGTCTCTAAAATTTTATAAGCTAGGATCATATTTATCCCCAAATAATTGTGGTAGAATTGACCTCTGGGGGCATCCATCATTTCAGGTATTGTATTGGTTTTCTACTTGCATAACAGATTATCACAAATTGTTGGCTTCAAACAACAGAAATGTATTCTTTCACAGTTCTGAAGGCCAGAAACCCAACAAACGCAAGGTGCTGCAGGGTACGCTCCTTGTGAAGGGTCGAGGGGAGAGCCCGCCCCTGCCTCTTCTGGCTTCTGGTGGCTGCCCACAGACCCTGGCATTCATTCCTTCACTTGTAGTTGTGTTCCCCATCTCCCTCTCCGTCAGCACAGTGTTTTCCCTCTGCATGTGTCCCTGTCTTCACATGGCTTTGTTTGGACACTCATGATTGGATTCAGGGCCCACCCTGATGCAATATGACCTCATCTTAATTTAGTTACATATGCAAAGATCCTCTTTCCTAATTACCAGAGATTAGAACCTCAGCATATCTTTTTGTCAAATTCAGTTTAACCCACAACAGGTGCCTTGGTCTGAGTTTGATTATGATGAGAGTCTTCTGGGCTTAAATATGCTTGAGGACTGAGACAGGAATTATTGAAATACAGTTAGAAAGGTCCACTATGTTAGGGATGTCAGGAATTTTTTTTTTTTTTTTTAAAGAATGTCTATTGTGTTTATTTAAACTAATTAAAGATTTATAGATGAAGCCGGCGCAGTGGCACATGCCTCTAAGGCAAGAGGATTGCTTGAGCCCAGGAGTTTGAGGCCAGCCTGGGCAACATAACAAGACCACATCTCTAGAAACAAAAACATAGCTAGATATGTTAATTTGCATCATTGTTTGGAAACCTGAAGACTTGAGGATATGCAGTGGTAAAATTCATGAAAGTGTTAGAAGACGGAGATCTTACAGAATAAGGAATTTTTAAAGCTGAGAGTCACAGCCTGAGTTTGGCCTGGGTCAGAGGGCAGAAGAGCTCTTGCTGATGTTCCAAGTTTATGGTTTTGCCAGCTGTGGCAGCAAGTTGGCAGAGACCGAATGCAACAGACCAGAGTCCCTGGGCCCTGGCTGACTTTTGCAGGAGGAGAAGCAGGCTTATTCCACTTGCCTTTCCCCTGCATTCCCATGGGGTCCACAGGGTGCCCAGGTGGTGTGTGGCACTGAGCTGTTGCTCCCCTCTGTGCAACACCCAGTGAACATACATTCTTTAGGGTCTGTCAGGGCTTACTAGTATTTGCGTTTTTTCAGCTCACCAGTTAAAAGTCTAAGAGTTGTTTATCTGTAGGGCGAGGTGACTCACGCCTGTAATCCCAGCACTTTTGGGAGGCCGAGGTGGGTGGGTCAGGAGGTCAGGAGGTCAGGAGTTTGAGACCAGCCTGACGAACGTAGTGATACCTTGTCTCTACTAAAAATACAAAAAGTTAGCCAGGCATGGTGGTGTGCACCTGTAATCCCAGCTGCTTGGGAGATTGAGTCAGGAGAATTGTGTGAACCCAGGAGGCAGAGGTTGCAATGAGCTGATACCGCACCATCGCACTCCAGCCCGGGTGACAGTGCGAGACTCCATCTCAAAAAAAAAAAAAAAAAAGAGTTGTTTAATAAAGGAAGTTTAAGTTCCCACTTTGATATCACAGTGATAGGACTATATCTGGCTTAGCAATGTAATTAAAATTCCTTAGCAATAATATACATTTGTGGGCATTTAATTGAATTGTTATCACGGTCACCATGAATTGGAGTTTTGCTCTTGTTTCCCAGGCTGGATTGCAATGGCGTGATCTCAGCTCACTGCAGCCCCCACCTCCCGGGTTCAAGTGATTCTCCTGCCTCAGCCTCCCGAGTGACTGGGATTACAGGTGCTCTCCATCACACCTGGCTAATGTTTTGCAGAGATACGGAGTTTTGCTATGTTGGCCAGGCTGGTCTTGAACTCCTGGCCTCAGGTGATCCACCTGCCTCAGCCTCCCAAAGTGCTGACATTACAGGTGGGAGCCACGGTGTCTGGCCACCAGGAGTTCTTAGGGAGCTCCTGTTGTGTCACAAAGAATTGTGTGCAACTTAGACAGATGGGAGATGAATAGAGAGGGCTATTTGTAGCCTTAAGGAAATTTGAAGCAGGGAGAGAGGACAGATAGGAATCAGAGGTTCATAGAAGAACTGATAAAGATTTGTGTATGCTACATTTGGCTTCTGTAGGAAAAAGCCTCTAAATGTATCATCTAATAAATGGCCAGGTGCAGTGGCTCACGCCTATAGTCCCAGCACTTTGAGAGACAAAGGAGGGAGGATTGCCTGAGTCTAGGAGTTTGAGATCAGCCTGAGTAATACAGTGAGACCTCATTTCTACAAAAAATAAAAAATTAGCTGGGCATGGTGGTGCACACTGGTAGTCCCAGTGCACCTAGAGTCCCAGCTGTTTGGGCTGAGGTGGGAGGTAGAGGCCATGATTATACCATTGTGCTCTGAGCTGAGACCTTATCTCAAAAATAAATAAATAAAGCATACAAACAAACAAACAACTAATGGACAGAGAGCTCACTTGGCCTCTGCCTCAACCTCTCCCTGTTTCCCCGAGTCCTGTGGGCACTTTAGTGGTGGAACAGAATCAACAGGTGCTTGGGTGAAGGGGGTTGAGATGAGAGAAGGGCCTCGGCTGCACCTGGACTGTGCGGGTGACTGCATTAGTGGTTCCAGTGTGGCTCAGTCACCTGTGTCCTGGGAGGTGTGATAATTCTGAGTATTCCCTCAGGACGTGAGTAGTATTCCTCAAAAAGGGAGGCTTCATTTCATGTCTGTTAACTGGGAATACAGCCACAACTATGTCCTCAGGGCAAGGACCAGTGGTAAAATCGCCATACTTCTGGGATGAGCAGAGGGCAAATAATGCACAGACATCATTTCCTTTGACTAATCTTTGTAATCCTGGCACCTGAAAGTAGTGAAAGTTCATGGTCTAAGCTGAGATTTTAAATTTAGGACCCAGATGAGTTAGAAGGTAAGCCTCCAAAAGGTCTGCTTTCCTCAGTGTGTCAGTGTCCTGGATTCCTGGCAGGCAGCAGTCTCATTAGAAAAGCAGATTGCCTCCTGACTCACCCACTCAGTGTGACGTGAGACAGCCCCACGGCCCTCAGAGCAGCCCATATTCCTGTGGATGGGGCAGGGCATGCACCGTCCATTTTATAGCTGTGGTGGCTACAGAAGCCTGGCCCAGACCGTGGAAAACCTTGAGAGGAGATAGTCTGTTACAGGACAGGAGCCTTGTCCTGGAATTTCCTGGCCTTTGTCTGTCTGGGATAACTTCATGTACCAAGACGCCTGTTTTTTAGAGTCTACTTCCTTCTGGGGGAAGAGTGCTACTGCCTGTCTTCCACATAATGCTTTTGCTTCCTGTACCAAAGCCATCTCCTCCCTGCTGTCCATGGGTTCAGAGGTGAGGGGAGCACTGTGGCCAGGTGTGTGTACCTGGCTCCCATTATGCTCCTGGAAGTTACCAGTCACAAAGGAAAAGCCTAGCCACTGGACATAAAAGCTGCGTCTTCCAGCCTGGCTCATTCACTCTGGTTCTAACCTTTGTCTGTCTCTCATATTGCAGCAGAAAAAGTCCTACCTGGAGCGGAGCGTTAAGGAAGCTGAGGACAACATCAGGGAGATGCTGATGGCACGAAGGGCCCAGTAGGAAGCCTCTTGGGGAAGCTCTTCCTCTTGCCCCTCCCATTCCTGGTGGGGGCAGAGGAGTCTCTGCAGGGAAACAGCTCCTCCTCTGCCCCATGGATGTTTCATCTGGATGGCCTGGCAACGTCACATTTTCTGCATCACCCTGAGCCCCTTTTGCTTCTCAGCCCTAGAGTTTTTACCCTGGCTTTACCTCCCACTTTGGCCCAAGACACTCTTCCCTCTCAGGGTGTGTGATGAATTCCCAGGAGAAGGGAAGATGGGAGCCAGGGCAGATAGGAAGCTCTGCCTGAGCTTTCCACTAGGCATGCCAGCCAGACCAATAAAAAGTGTCCACTCTGCTAAGCCTGCTTTTCTTGAGCTGAGGGATGGAACAGAGGGTTAGAGAGGCAGTGGCCGTCTCCACCTCAGCTCCTGCTCCCTCTGCATTGAAGCCCTTCCTTCCTTGGGGGATGGGCTCTTGCCCTCTTCTCTTTTCCCTTCCTGTACCTTTGACTAACCCCTCAGCTTCCGGGCCTGCATGTAGTAGACAGAAGAGGAAGAAAGAACACTGACATTCACAGCTGAATAAGTGAACAGGATAGCAGTCCCTGGATGGCAGTTGCCTAGATTCCTTTTCCTGCCTCCTCCTATACATTCCAAAAGGAAGTTCAACAGCAGCACCTCCAAGACTGTCTCCTTCAGGCCAATGTCATAAGATGGACGCTGTAATCCTGAGGCCTCCTAGAGGCTGAGGGCAGCAGTATGCTCCAGCTGGCTCGTCCCAGCCCAGGTGGGCCAATTATTCAATTTTTAAGAATTTTGTTGCAAGCCAGTTGTTGAACACAGCCATTATAATTATGTAAATGTGCAAATTAGGTTAAAAACAAGGACAATAAATATTCAAAACTCATCCCTAATTATATTACTACATTTGACCATGATTGTGCTCTATCTATCTATGCACTGACTGTGATCTGTGGGGCTGGACCTATTGTGTGTGGGTGGCAGAAATCCCACATGATGGCAGGTCCTGTGCTGCTCTTCCCAGCTCCAGTCAGTGACATCACATTGGTAACTTGAAATCAGCCATGGCAGAGTGGGAACGCTTACACCACAGAAATAAGACGTAGGACATGCTACAAAACATGGCTGGGTTTTTTTTTTTTTTTTTTTTTAAAGAGAGGCTGGTAGACATTTATCAGCACATCCACTGCCTCAGAAGGAAGGCAGAGTCGGCAGGGAGCTGTCAGCTGCAGCCTCTCTGGCCAGCTGGGCTGGGTGGACCAGCTGGAGGAGGAAAATCAGGCTTGCTGCTATGGCAGCCTGGCGCCACCCTGTGGCCAAAGATGAGATGAGTGGCACGGCTGACTAGTTGGGGTGAGAGGTGGGAGACTACAGTGAAAAAAGAAAACCTCTGGTATGGCCCCATGTTGATTGTAGGATCCTGGGTTTCTAGGGAGCAGGCCTGGAAGCCACTCCAGGGGCAGCCCCTGGTTACCAAAAGGCCCTTTCCTAGGCACTGGGTAAAGGCAGGTGTAAGTTGTCGTGGCAAATACTCCTCCCTGAGCCCATCTTTGAGTGGGACTGGGGGAAAGTGCTAGCTGGACCAGGAACCCATCACCCGCCTGGAGGACACCTGGCTTCAGAACCTCAGGTCCTTCCTTGTAGCACCTGCACTGTTTGCATCACCGCCAGAATAAAAAGTTAGACTAGCTGCTGGTCATATACTGGATGGTGACCACTAGCTGAGATACCCAAATTTTATAAGCCTTAGTGAACAGGTGAGTAGTGAGAAATGGTAACAGTCCAGGAGACAAACACAGACTCAAGGGGGCTTAGCTTAGACCTGCAATCATTTAGACAGTTGAGCTTTGGACAAATTTATTGAAACATACAGGGTGTTAGCAGAGAAATCATTCCATGGTGTATTACATTTGGCCACTACCTTGAACGTATAATTTAAAAATTATAACTATATATTTCACCACTAAGACTTTGGCCAAAAAAAAGTCATTTAGCACATCTTTAAAGATCAATAAGAAATGGATTTGGGACATTAAAAAGATCAAGTCACTGAATTAAACGGCAGCAACCCCCACTAATCTAGAACCCCATAGTGGTGAAGGTAGAGATGTCTGTGCAGAGCTAGTCATGTGTTACAGCAATCAGAAGAGACGGGGGCAGGCACACCTATCAGAGGTGGCGGCAGAGCTGGCAGGACCGGACGGCTGGGCCGGTCAGGTGAGCATGTCCCAGAGACAGCAGCAACAGAGAGCAGTCCAGCAGGCTGTGAGGCAGGTGGATGGTCCCAGCTCATCTCTTCTTTGGTCTTCTACCACATACACTGGAGGGAGAAGGGGCAAGAGGGTGAGAATGGACTGGTACAAACCCCAGGTCCTGCAAAGTTAGCCTCCCAGGACCACGGGAAGGCTATAGCAGGGGGAAGCCATTGGGCAGGCTGGCAAGATCTCCGTGCTCCTGCCATTGCTGCTGCTGAAAGGAGGGAGGGTGGCTCAGCTCAGCTGCTTTCTCTCTCCATTCCAGACTCATGACACTCTCACCCTCACAGGGACAAGTACTATGGAACTTGCAGAATGGCCAACCCTACTTAGATAACTTTATAACCAGGTAGCATGTCCTCCCCCTTCAGGGGGACTGGGGGGCATTTCTTGAGATACAACTGAGCCATCACCCAAGAGTAACAGAGGAAAAGGAATTAAAATCTCCTTTAAAAAAAGAGGGCTTTAAACCCTCAAAGAATAATCAAGAGCCCTGGTTTTTCACTCCTGGGCAATACACAATTTCAGAATTGCCCCTGACCTCTATACCTTGATAGAAAGGATGAAGGAAGGCAGGGATGAAAACCTGGCCGAGTGATATGGGGCAGCTGGAGCCTGGGATGCTCACTTTTCCTCCAAATGGAGTTGGAAACTTGAGTCCTGTCAGGGCTAAGTGCTCTATCAAGAGATCTGAGTGCTAAGCAAATCCACAGGTCAAGAAGGACCCCAACTACCTGCCACTTGTCAGCTAACTTGAGGCAGGCATTAGCTTCTCTTCCCATAAGGACATATTTTAAATGGCTGCTAGTCAATCCGTGGCCACTGGGGGGAAAAAAAAATCTCCAACCAACCACTGTCATCAAACTCATAAGCAGTAAGCATTTTTCATTTTTCCAGAGTTTATAAATGCGTGAATCTTATCAATTATTAAACTAGTCCTTTGGCGGCTTTTTCTTTTTGTGTTTTGTATCTGTTTTGAGACCTCTCTCTTGGCAGCCCCTCTCTCTGGAGCCTGGTGTCTTTGCTATTACAGAGCATGCTGGATGGGTTAGTAGGAGATTTTCCAGGTCCTCTCATTGTATCAGCTGTCCTCCACTGCATGGACATGTTCCTTTTCCTTCTCTTGTGGCAAAGGTTTAATCCCAGCCCACTTTCATTTGGCCCTCTTCAGCAACACAGGTCTGGGTCTAGATGACCCTTTACCAGGAAAGCCTGCTCAAAGGGAGAGGATGAATGACCCATTTATTCTGAGGCCTCTCCTAAGGTCCAGTACCTGATTTCGTCTTCACAGCAACCTTGAAGTAGATACTACCATCACTGCCTGTGGAGTTCGAGGCTTAGAGAGGTTAGGTCTCTTGTCGAAGCACATGTGACTAGGCAGAGGCAAGGGCAGGATCTGGACCCAGGCCTTTATGGCTCTAAAGCCTCTGGCAAGCCAGGCTTGCTCGGGCCTAACTGGGATAGAAAAGGGACCAGAAAGAGAACAGGTGACTGGGGCTACAGCAAAGTCTTTTCTCACACCCAGCTAGAGCCTAACCCGCCCACTGAAGCCTGGGCACCCCAGACCCTGGGGTCACTGCAGCAGGAAAGCCCCAGGCAGACTGTCTCTTCCATCTGCCGGGATGGCCTGCTCACCACAGGATCCTGCATGGGCAACTCTGGACAGGGAAACCAGAATACAATGGCATGCAGGTTGCCTTGAATAACCTCTTCCTGTGCTCTCCCTGTCACAGGATTGGCTTGCCTGCCCCTGGGACAGAAAGCCCCCTCCCCTGCCAGCTCTAGAAATAGCCTGCTTGATTCATGTGAAGGCCATCCTGGGCTTCAGGCCAGAGACTCAGCTGAAGCCTGGCTGTAGTGGGAGAGGCCCCATAGACTCTCTTAAGCTACCATTTATTGAGGTATTTGCAAGTGCCAGGACCTGTGCTGAGGGCCTTCTGGACACGGGACCACTCAGTCTTCATGACTACCGTGTAGGGTGTGGGCATCAGGACATCAGTCTCCTCACTGCTTCCCCTTCTCCCCAGCCCCCAGGGACAGGGCTGAGGTGGCGGCCGTGCCTTTCTCCTGTTGGAGCCACTGAACCTCAGGCAGCTTAGCTGGGGAAACAAAAATGTCCTAGTCTTGCCTGCTCCACCTTTCTCCAGTTTAATCAGGTCCGTCCTTGCCGGGGCTTTCACATAACATACTCGGAAACGTGGGGAACTGGGGACTTGAGCACATGACTCCCAGACAGCGCTGACAGAGGTTTGAAACAGCAGCTACAAAATGGAGGACTTCAAACCAGAGGGCTGTGACAGCCATGACAGGGGCACTGAGTGCCCACACATACCTTAGAAACCCGAGTCTTATTTCCTGGAGCACCAAGTTCCCCCAAACCCTTAGGACCTTTTCACCTTTAGCTGAGGACAGAACCTCGGCAACTCTTCTCTCAACTTCTGTAAATATTAAAAAATATAAACCTTTTTAAAAAGAAGGAAAAAAAGGAGAGGGGTCAAAAGAGCAATGGAGGGGCTGGGGTGGGAAGAGGCACCACGTTTCCAGACCTGTCGGCAGCAGTCAGTGCCCAACCTGAGAAGAGGTTTTGGTGCCCGCTGTCAGTGCTGTGATCCAGCCACTTCTTGGAGATCAAGTGCCCCCCTGTGGCCAGTCTAGGGACGGGCTGGGTTCCAGCTCCTGATGAGGTCTTAAGCATTGGCTTCCTTCCATAAGCATCGGTGCCAAAAGGCTCACCCCTCATTCGCTAACTAGTTACCACCCTATTCAACCAGCCCCAGGCAAGAAAAGACTATTCCCAAAAAATAAAAATAAAATAAAAAGAGATTATTCCCAGGGAACTAAAGGTGGAGTGGGGGACCCTTCACTGGCTTGCCTGTTACCTGCCCTTTGAACCAACCCTCAGTATTCTCAGCCCCAGCCTGGTGTAGTGCCTGCAGAGGGGCAGGCACCCAGAGCTTTGTCACATGGATGCAAGCACAAGTGTGGGGTGGGGAATGTGCAGGGAGAGGCCTGTGAGCAAACAGGTGTGGCCTAGAAGCCCAGGCTAGGTCAGAAAGGCCCAGGAAGCTCAGGTATCAGATGCGCAGTAGCTTTAGGAAGAGCTGAGCAGCTTCTGGCAGGGGCATCTCCCACCTCCTTGCCTTCAAGCTGGAAGCAGAAATGATAGATGGACAATGTCCACCAAGCCCTGTGGTCTTCTCTGGGGCCACCAATGCCCACTGCAACCTTGGCCACCAGACACACCAATCAGTCGTCCCCTTAGTTCCAGGATCTAGGACTACTGTATTGTATAGCTGCAGAGGTGACATTCACATGGGCTACTCAGAAACCTGGTTCCTGGCAGACAATGGGCAAGTGGGGCTCCAGTCCCCACAGAGGTCAGGGCAGGGATGACCTGCAGGAAATGTGAGTACAAGCCTCAGGTGAAGGTTCCTATTCTCAGTCCCATTCTGGCACCTGAAACCTTCACCAGCACGGCTCAGACTTTGTGAATGATTAATCGAGTGCCTTGATGTGGTAATTGAGCCTTATTAGGTCCTTCTTGTTTGTGCATGTCTGTACCAGTTCCAACCCAAGAGAACTAAGCAGGAAAGGCAAACAGAAAGACCAGAGCCTCCCAGAGGGTTTTGATGCCTGCAGCCTTCTTGCTCCAGGAGTGAAGCAGCACCTTGGCCCCTTACGGCCCAGACCTGTGATGGGCACCCAGCGCTGGCCCTCAACTGCTAAGACAATTACAGTCACAGCACCTTCCAAGAAATGCCACAAGGGGAGATGATGGCTTTGCCAGGGGGAGGAGGACCTGTAGTCTTTGCTCAACTGCCCTTGCCCCACATTGGGCATCTAGACCGACAGAAGGAGGCTAACC